TCATAATACGTGTCTTCTTATCTTGCGTTAGGAAAGTGTCGCAAAGCGTAAGTTTGAAACGCCCACCCAACCCAACCCTCTCCGTCTCCGCGGGGGAGGCGGGTCAAGGGCGCTTTCAGCACCTCCTTTTCGTCAGTCGGACTGCAAGCTTAACTTCCTTATAAGAGGAAGGTCTTGAGGTTACTGGAAGTCCCCCTTCTACGTGAACCAGGGACATGGGGTTTCGAAATGGGATTTAGATATAATGTCTCGCTTACTCTCTCTCTCTCTCTCATTTAATAGAGAAAGGTAAGGTATAGACTATTCCCTACTGGAATTTCTGGGATAGCTCACTATGAACAGATGGGTGTTGTGGTATTCACATAAAGAGGCAAAGTTGTCGTAGCCAAGAAGGCGGTGGCGTATATGTATTTTTTTCGTTTACCGTAACGGGGTTGTGTTGTGATCTCCAATCGTGTATGAAGAACGTGAAGGAAACATAAGGAATCTAAAAATAATCTTCTCCTACTTCTTTTTGTTTGATTCAATAGCTGAGCACCATAAACAGAGAAAAAATGCTAGTTGCTTCTCATCGAAATGAATATGCAGAAGCAGAGTATGATTCTGTTACGTGTACCGTGTGTCCGGCGATGTCCACCATTTCTCTTCCAGGGCCTTGCCTTGCTTTAGAAGTGAGAGAACTCCTATCAGCTCGTATTGGTGTTGATGTGAGTTCAATTGAGCTCTACATTAGGGGAGATAAAGGCTTAGTCGCTGTCCCAGATGAGCTATGGGGGACCCGTGAGTACTATGTTTTGCTGAGATTTCGTGGTAGCAAAGGTGGATTTCGAAAGCAGCTCGAGAAGAAAGGAAGAGCTTACGCAAGAGCGAGGAGACTACGAGAGTCGAATCAGTCGAATGCTCGACCACAGAAGGTTCAGAACGCAGGAGGGACTTCAGAGAAGAGCATCGAACGCAAAGGGACTGAGACAACTGTGAGGGAGCCCAAAGGCGAGGATAAAATTCAGCCAAATGCCGTTCTTAATAACACTATCAGGAATGCTGTTCGTTTGGGTGTCAAACGAACTCTTGAGAGTTTGGCTGATAATGACCAATGAGTGCTATTTCCATGCTCGTCACTACACGCTAACAGTTACCGTTTTCGCGGTACGTGGTATTGAAGTTAACTCTTTTTGGAGCCCATAGTAGGTAACTTGAAGCTAAACAAACAAGTTATACGCTGTTTTTTTTCCTTAATTGTTATTGGTGATTTCTTATTCGGTAGGCAGAAAAGGGGAAGAGCGTGTAGGTCTATGCGTATGCCATGTCCAGAAGTGTGCCGTGGCGGACCAATTGCCCTCAGTCTGTAAAGAGCATTTTTGAGCGATTACCTTCGTGTCAATTGCTGCTCGTGAAACGTATTGGTCCGACTAGTTTTCTTCTTAGTGGACGTGAGGGACGAGACAAATACAAGACATCCATAGGTGATCCACACCACTGTTCGTGTGGTGACAACACAGAGCTCTGTGTTCATGTTGTGTTTGTTCTATGTAAAGTTTTTTTCCTGCCCAAGGAAAATCCGCTGGTTTGGCAGCGGTCTCTTGTGGCAGCGGAGATAGACGAACTACTCCGATCGGAGACAAGGGTGCGAAATGCACAGAGGCGTGTAGTTGGGACTGGGATGGCTGCTCCTAGAGAAGTGGAAAAAGGTGATGTGTGCCCTATATGTTTCGAGGAACTTGGTGATGACGCTCCGTTAAGCTATTGTCAAGGAGAGTGTGGGAAGTATCTTCACACGTACTGCTTCAAGCAGTATATGCGCCATAATTCAAACATTTGCTTGCGGTGTCCATACTGTCGGAGTCCCTGGATAAATGACCCAAGTGCCACGAGTAAGAAATGCTCTGGATGCAAGAAGTATGTCAATGGGCAGTGCTATATGTGCTTGTTTTGCCATGAGTACTTCCTATGCGGAAACTGCTTCCACTGCAGCGATGCACACCCAAATCACCCATTTTCGCTTTTAGGAGCGAGTGAGGTTGCCGAAAGACATAATGCGCAGGCTGTGTCATCTGTGCAATCGATTCGTGAATCTTCAGTTCCAGTTTCAGCTCCAGCTCCAGTTCCTGCGGAGGTGCTGCCACTAATGTACAGAGAACTTGATCCTGATGATTATGAAACACTACTTCAACTTGACTCGCAGAATAGTCGACGTGTGCTGACTGTGGCTCAGTTCAGGTCACTTAAACGTGAAGCATGGAGTTCTTCCTTGGCGGCGGAAACATGTCACATTTGCCTAGAGCCATTCGATACCACTAGCACTTGTGTTTGGCTGACCTGTGGGCATTTTTTTCATCTTTCATGTGCCCAAACATGGTTGACGGAGCACTCAGCTGTTTGTCCTTTAGATCAACATCCAGTTGTGGCCCCGGATCTGGTGGAGCCTGTAACGGCATCGAGTTCACCATTGCCACCCGTGGTGAGACCACCACGTCGCCCAACGCAGAGAAATCAACGCCGAGAGAATCCTCCAACAGTGACAGCTCCACGAAGGGTGGCACATCCTGTTCGTCGACGTGCAGAACGAGAGAGAGTTTCTGCTTCTGTGTCTTTGCCCCTTCTTGGGCTTCAGGTTTTGTCTCTGGGTCTTGCACAACGGCCTGAACAAAATCGCGATCGCTTCCGTTACGGAAGTGCCTAGTAGCGATGCATTCCCTCCTCCAATGGGCCAAGCGGAGAAGGGAAGGGGATCGAGTATACATAATGAATCCATTTCATTGCCTAAACGTACTGTTTGCTAAAAGATACATGAGCTTAACCTCTTGCTTTTAATTTTCCTTGATACCTTTCTTTTCCCTTGTTTATTGGTGTTGTTATTGTTGTTGTTGTTGCTTTAAGAGGGGGAAAAAAAAAGGGAAGATCATAATGCGTCGCGTGGCAAACTCTAAGATCGGGGCTCAAGGCGCTCGCTGTATATCAGGGGTGGCGCCTATGCTCTACTTTCCGCCCAACGCGGCCGCAAAGATCAATAAAGAGGAGCAGGTGAAGCGAAACACTGGCATTGCCATTGAAATGGTGAAGCGCTACAAGGGAGATGTGCCACCACAGTACGCCCGTAAGACCACCGCTACGATAGAACAAGTTGAAAAGGAGATTGATGCGTTGCTGGGTGGAGCTCAAAAACTGCGGAAGAACACAACCGAGGACCAGCCGATGGACAAGCTTACACTAATGGAGCGTTGCCTCCGCCATGCCCTTTGGTCGTATCACAAAGAAGAAGGAAAGTATGACTTTGATCAGATAGCCAAATGGGTTGTTTACACGGCTGAGGACGAGGCGAAAATGTCTCAACTGAAGCGTGAGGTGGAGGCAAAGCAGAAAATGGCTGCACTCCGTAAGCATCGGGCAGAAAAAGGGCTGCCAGATGCTCCTGTTCCGAAGATCGACTGGAACCAGGAGTATGGCTCTGTCATCGACCGTGAATTGGTCACAGCAAAGCGCATTCGGTACGATACTCTGGCCGCCAATACAATGGAGCATGATGATAAACAAGTTGAGGCTGTCCTTCAGCAATACAAGAGGCCCGCGCAGGACCAGCGATTGGACAACCTGGTGGATCTTCTTGAGCGCTTCAAGCCAGTTTTGGCGCGTGAGGCGATCATGCAGCGTCTGACGATCAAGCACCTTGAGGGCCAACTAGGCGTCTGGCGCTACATGGACTGGTGTCCGGAGGTGCGTGACCGCGCTGAGTTGGAGGTGGATATCACCGGCTGGCAGTGGTGGTCTCCCTTGGAGGAGCGCCGTCTCCTTCCAGTGCGGCTGCGCTCGGTGAATGAGGTGCGTGAGATCATGTCAAAAACTCAGGAAAAGAAGGCTGCTGAGGCTGTGGAGAAAAACCCGAAGGCTGTGCAATCCAGCAGCGGTGACAGCGCGCGTGAGCGTCTTTTGAAGGAAGTCCTCGCCCTGCAGGCTCGCGTTAACCAGCGCCAGGAGGTTGAGGCCCCTAAGAGTGATCAGAAGAAGAAGGCACATCACTGAGAAATGAGGTGAATTCTAAGTAGTGAAGAAACAACAGTAGGAATCACTCGCAGACCGAAGTTCGTTAGGGAGAAAGTAAAGGAGGGGTTGTTAGCGTGAGAGTGGGTAGGAATGAGATGTGCTTGTGTATGCAGGGAACGTGCAACGAGAAACGTCATTACCTTATGGAAAGAGTGGCCAGGCGCTCTCAAATGTGCGTCTGGGCATTGTTTTTGATTTGAAGACTTCCACATGGGTTTGCCTTTTTTTTTTTTGGACTACTATGGATTTCTTCTTGAAGAAACATTTTATCCCATTTCGTTTTCGTTTGTGTTTCTTATTCTTTTTTTTGTGGTGTATCGCACTTAGACTACTGGAAGCTTTATGGACGCAACAGAACTTAAGAACAAAGGCAACCAGGAGTTTTCCGCGGGCCACTACACGGAAGCTGCTGGCTTCTTCACCCAGGCGATTGCCCTGGACCCCTCCAACCACGTGTTGTACAGCAACCGCTCCGCATGCCATGCAGCACTTCATCAGTACCAAAATGCCTTGCAGGACGCCGAAAAATGCATCTCGCTCAAGGCAGACTGGGCCAAGGGGTACGTGAGACATGGTGCGGCGCTGCATGGGCTTCGACGCTACGACGAGGCTGCCGCAGCCTACGAAAAGGGATTGGCCATTGAGCCGACAAACGCTGCATGCACGGATGGCATCGCCGCAGTAAAGAAGGATAAAGCCGCCGCCCAAATGCACAATCCCTTCGCAAGGGTTTTTGTTCCAGAATGTGTCGGTAAGATCCAGGCCCATCCAAGGCTCTCACTCTACCTGTTGCAGCCAGACTACGTCCGCATGATCAATGAGGTCATCAAGGATCCATCGACGGCCCATCTGTATGCGAAGGACCAGCGATTCATGGCGACCTTCCTTATGTTGAGCGGCATCGACCTCCCCGGAAATGATGACGAGGAGGAGGAGCGACCGAAGGCGCAGGAGGCACCGGCCAAGAAGGAGGAGGCGAAGAACCCCCCCGCGGCGGAGCTCTCTCCAGAGGCACAGGAGGCATTGCGCCTCAAGGAGGAGGGCAATGCGCTCTACAAGCAGCGCAAATTCGATGAGGCCCTCGCAAAGTATAGCGAGGCACTTGCTAAGGACGGGAAGAACACAGTGTACCTCCTCAACATCACTGCTGTGTATTTCGAGAAGGCTGAATACGAGACCTGCATTGCGGAGTGTGAGAAGGCCCTCGAGCACGGCCGTGAGCATCGCTGCGACTACACGGTGCTTGCCAAACTCATGACACGCGAGGCGTTGTGCCTGCAGCGTCTGAAGCGCTATGAAGAGGCCATCGCGGTCTTCAAGAAAGCGCTGGTGGAGCACCGTAACCCTGACACCCTCGCCAAACTGAACGCCTGCGAGAAGGAGAAGCAGAAGTTCGACATTGAGTCCTACGTAAACCCCGAGATTGCACAGCAGAAGAAAGAAGAGGGCAATGCACTGTTCAAGGAGGACAAGTTCCCAGAGGCGGTGGCGGCCTACACGGAGGCAATTAAACGTAACCCAGCGGAGCACACAACGTACAGCAACCGTGCCGCCGCGTACCTGAAGCTTGGAGCGTACAATGAGGCCCTCGCGGACGCTGAGAAGTGCATTGAGATAAAGCCCGATTTTGTGAAGGCACACGCGCGAAGGGGGCATGCCTACTTCTGGACCAAGCAGTATAACAAGGCGATGCAGGCGTACGAAGAAGGCCTCAAGCACGACAAGGAAAACGCGGAGTGCAAGGAGGGACGTATGCGCACGATGATGAAGATTCAGGAGATGGCATCTGGGCAGGCTGAGGACGGTGACGAGGTGGCGAGGCGCGCTATGGCAGACCCGGAGGTTGCCGCTATCATGCAGGACAGCTATATGCAGCTGGTGCTGGGCGAGATGCAGCGCGACCCGTCACGCGTTCAGGAATACATGCGCGACCCGAACCTTGCGGCGAAGATCAACACGCTCGTTTCCGCTGGCATCATCCGCTTCGGCCGGTAAGATAACGAGGAAAGGGATGATGATGATAATGATGAGAGAAAAGCGGAGGACGCGGAGAAGGAAGGATGGAGCGAGCAGTAAATGTGGAGAGCAAGAATGTGCAAGAGAGACGTCAAAACGAAACAAAAACAAAAAAAAACAAAAATAGAAAGATGAAAAAGAAAAGAAAAATAAGAAGATGCGCTTCAAGCTGTTCACACATGCGCCGCATTCCGGAGGAGAGGCTCGAGTGATGGGAGAAGAGTCGCGCAAATGTTCACACCAACAACATTCTCCCCGTCGTCTTTTATTATTATTATTATTACTACTACTTTCACCCCCACACCAACTATTCCTGTTGAAAGAAGAGGCTAACTTGAGGAAGTGATAAGGCTTCACACTCAAATCCCCGTTTTTTTTTTGGTCCCGTACGCCTGCCACTCTTCGTGCAACAGACAACGTTTTTTGTTTTTGCAACGAGGAGCAAGCAATGGATGTACCGTTTTAATGCTCTTAACCCCGTGAAGCGTATTGGTTTCTATTCCGCCCCTTTTTTCTTCCCTTGCCTCTCTTTCTTTCTCTCTCTCTCTNTGTGTGTGTATGGGGTCTTTGTATTGCTTTGCAGGAGGAAGTGATCGAGCATATGACCTCACCGAAGCCATCGACGCTTGGGCATGATGTGCCGACGGAGTATATTCGCACCCTCGACGCAAAGTTGCTGCCACCGCGGGTGGGGCACAACTGGCTCGACCCGGCATTCCGCAAGGCGCAGGACAAGCCACAACAGCTGGAGGCGGAATTCCGCGGCAAGCGGGCCTTCGTATCGCGCGGCATGTACGATCATACTCCACCAGAGGGGCTGGGCCAGACGGCGCATCAGCTCATGCACGCCCTGTCGACACGGCGGGCCGATGATGCTGCAGGCGACCGGCGGGCCAACTATACCACGTTGTCAGATAAGGTACTCCGCTTCTATGCCTTCTTTACGGAAAAGGCGCCTGATGGATGCATTGAGGAGTACTGGCATCGCCGCGTTGTGATCAACTTCTACCCGGAGGACGACACGGTGCTTATACAGGAGCCGCCTATCCCCAACAGTGGACTGCGCGGGGGGACGTATCTCAAGCGGCAGCCGGTGCGTGCCGACCCGCGGCAGCGGGAGGAGTTCCCCAGAGATGAGTTCTTGACGATCAATCACTTCAACGTGGGCCGTGCAGTGCGTATCAACGCAGTAGAGTTTTTCCTCTACGATTGTGATAACTTTACGCGGGAGTTCCTCACCTCCATCGGCGTCGATGTTGGTGCCCCAACGATATGCCCGGACTCTTCATTCATGTCGGACTGGAAGCGGACGCAGGAGCGGATGCAGTCCGGCAAATTCGGCATACTCTCGCAGGACTACCACGGTGACGAGGCGGTGCGTGCGGCCCGCTTCGTGCAGGACAGCGGGAAGGTGTTGCGCTTCTACGGCATTTTTGATGAGCGGAAGAAGGTGACAGGCGGAGTTGTGCGCAAGCTGGAGGTACTGTACTTCGTCGAGGACGACTCCATCGCGGTAGTGGAGCGTCCAACATCGAACGAGGCGACACCGTCGCTGTTCCTTTCGCGCGGGTGGCTGCCGAAGACGGGCTCTATCGCAAAGGTGAACGAGCTCACCTTCGCCCACCGCGTGAATGGTATGCGGGAACCGTACGTCGGGCCCGAGGGGCACTATAACGCGCCGGACCTGAACATTGGTGAGACACTCAACGTCCTTGGCCGCCAAGTGTTTTTGTACGACTGCGACGACTATACACGGTCTTTCTACGCCCAGGCGCTTGGCATTACACTCCGCGACGCGGTGGATTGTCTCGGTGAGTTCGGCCTTCCGCGGGAGTCGAACTTTATTGCGTTTCGGGCCGGTGCCATTCCTACTACGGCGCCTGCTCTCGGACCTACTACTGCTGATGTGGGTGGCGATTTAGAGAAGCAAGCACCGTACAAGGTGAGGGATGTACTCCGCTTCCTTCTGCGCTTGGCACCCCCATGTTCCCTCGCTGAGCGTCAGCGCCGCTTCACCCTTACGTACTACACTGAGACGGAGGATGCCATGGTGTATGAGTCTCGTATACGAAACTCCGGGTATATGGGCGGCTGCTTCAGCCGCCGGCGGCGCCTGCCGAAGAAGTCGGACGACCCCGATGCGCACTACACCGTTGAGGACATTGCATTGGGCAGCGTTGTCGTGGTGAATGGGCACCGGTTTGAGGTGGTCAACATGGATGAACACACAGCGAACTACCTCGCAGGTAAGAATGCACCGATTATGAACGAGGAGAAGCTGGAGCTTCTGATTGCCTCATTCCGTCTCTTCTTGGGTACACGCTTCCACAATTTCAAGGACGCCTTCCTCGGATTCGACCGAGACAAGGACGGTGTGATAAGCGTCGCTGAGTTCGTGGAGCACCTGGAGGAGCTGCAGATCACGGAGCGGCGGATGGATGGGCAGGCGCTCTTTGATAGCATCGCACAGTGCCAGGAGACGGGTTACTTAACAATGGAGGATTTCGTGCGGTGGATATCCAAGACTCCAGCCAAAGACAAGGAGACGCAGGACAGGGAGGCCATTGACGTCGATGACCGTGCAGTGTGCCGAAAAGCGCTGCGTCAACTCTGCGAGCGGCTTGAGGCGCGGTGCCTCAACAGCGCGCAGATGTTCCGCCTCGCCTCCACCATGCCGCGCGCGTACACCGAGCGCAGAGCCGACATCTACTCCTTGACGAACCCGAACCGCGACTCCTATGTGACGCCGGTGCAGCTGCGCCGCTGCATCGAGGACGTGCTTGGCGGCAACCCCACCCCGCGCGAGATGGACGCGCTGCTGGCGTTCTTCTTCCCCAACCTGCCTCGGGAGGCGTACCGCAGAGTGCGTGATGTGGGTCTCGACCACGCACTTGATCTCAAGGCGTTCCAGAAGAAGTACCACGAGATGGTGGAGCTTCGCCTGCTCGCCGAGAGTGAAAAGGGCGCTGACAGCCAGAAGGGGAGGAGGACGGAAGTGGCAGCGTGAGTGCGGAGCGGTCAGATAGAAACAAGGAGGTCCCATCAACCAAGAGAGGAACGAGGAAAGTGGAGAGAGAGAGAGAGAAAGAGAGAAAAGAAAAAAGAAAAGAAACAAAGAATGAGGTACACTACATGTAGAGCCGCGTCACACAATGATGTACAAGAGTACAACGAGACGAGCGTGAAGGCGCCTGCGCAGTCAGAACTGTTGCTCCCTCGAATTGAAACACCGTGCCGTCTCTCGCGCACAGGCAACAACAAGGGAAGCTGTTGTGTTTGCGTGCGTCTGCGTCACTCTCTCTCTCTGTGTGTGTGTGCGTGTGTGGAGGCACGGCCCGTAATTGCTTCTTGCTTGTTACATTTATATTCTTCCCTCCCCCGCCATCTCCCTCTCGTTCTCTCCCTCCTCCTTCCTGCGCCTGCATTTCCGCTTCGTTTCTATTCGCGTCTTGCTGCGTGGGTTCACGGCGTGGAGGTCCTCCTCACCAGCAACTCGTAACAGCAGCGAAAGGGAGAAGGGTGTTGGCGCCGCGCAACTGACAACACGTGTGAGTCACTACAGTCAAGGGCAACAAGGGGCTTACACTTATACACCACAACAGGCTTGAGGGAGAAAACTGCGAAAAGAAAAGAAGACGAAAGCGGGTGCGTAGAAAACCGCGGACAATGGCCTACACGATGTCTCCGGGTGAGACACACACGGCGGTGCATGAGCAGCTGCAGCGCATCGAGAGCGCGTACTTCTACGCCCCCGGCGACTCCATGGCGGCGGTGCACCCCGTGCAGGGCACCGTCTCGCCGCGCCACGGCAACAACATGCGGCCGGTGTGCATCGTCTCGGGCAACGGTAACCGCCCACTCGCGGAGGCGGTGGCGCTGCTGTTGGGGTTCCCGACACACCAGACAGTGGTGACGCAGCAGGCGAGCGGCGAGGTGATTGTGCGCATCGATGAGAGCGTTCTTGGCGCTGATGTGTACATCATTCAGAGCACAACCGGAAATGAGCTCATCGACGTCAACACAGCAGTTATGGAGCTACTGCTGCTGATTCGCAAAATGCGCTTGAGTAACGCAAAGCGGATCACGGCGGTGATTCCCTTCTTCGGCTACTCGCGGCAGGACTCCAAGCCGAATGTGCGCGGCACCATTTCCGCCTCGGCAGTTGCGGAGATGCTGACAAAAGTCGGCGTGTCCCAAGTCATAACACTCGACCTGCACTCGGGGCAGATCCAAGGCTTCTTCGGCAACACACCGCTTGACAATCTGCAGATGTGCCCTGAGTTCGCCCAGTACTTGCGCAGCCGGTCGTGGTTTGATCCAAGCAACATGGTGGTTGTCTCGCCCGGCTCCGGCAGCGTGGAGCGTGCACGCAAGCTTGCCGACGCGCTGAGCATTGGCCGCATCGTGACGGTCATGAAGCGCCGCAGCAACACTGGTGCCGCGACGTGGCAGGCAGTGGGCGACGTTGCGGGACACATCTGCGTCGTCGTTGATGACATGTGCGACACCGGCGAGGGCCTCGTGAAGGTGTGCGAGCTGCTCGAGACACTGGGGGCGGTGAAGGTGACGGCGTGCTGCACGCACGGTATTCTGACGCCGCCGTGCGCGCAGCGCCTCAACGAGTGCAACGCGCTCAGCGAGATTGTCGTGTCCGACTCCATCCCGCAGGAGGAGCACCAGCGCATGATCCCGAAGCTGAGGGTGCTTACCATCGCCCCACTGCTCGCCACCGTGGTGGACAAGCAAACGCGCGACGAGAGCATCAGCTGCCTCTTCGACCTGCCGTGCCCACCTGTGCGGAAGGCGGCAGGCGCGAAAGCGTAACCGGCGCCACACACACACACACATCTGTATATATATATATATATATATATATGTATGTATACAACGCTGACGTCGACTAAATCGAAGCGGGGACTCAGAACAGAAAGCAAAAAAAGACAGGAAAGAACAGCAAAACGAACACATACACGCCATTGAGAAGAAATGCTGTGTAGGTGTATCTCTTTCTCTCTCTCTCTCTCTCTCTATCAATCTATCTATCTGAAGATTGTGGTGATGAAGTGGACGCGATAAACGATCAGTTATAAAGCGAAGCCAAACAAAAGAGAGGACGCACCTCAGTAAGAAGGTGCAGGCGGCGCATTCCGGCCTTGTTTGTTGCATGACCCATTTTTTTTTTTCGTACCGTTCGCTCTGTTCTCTTCTCCTGTGTGTTCTGTTTGTTGCGGTGCGATGTCTGCATCTTCCTCTCCCCCACCCCTTTTGCGGCGCCAACCACAACAGCAGCAGAAGCAGTGGCGAAGAACAGCGGGCAAGAGAAGGAGTGAGGGAGAGAGAGAGAGAGAGAGAGAGAGAGAGAGAGCCAAGGGAATAGATACATTGAACGATGGCGTCCCCGCTTACACTGCGCGAGCTTGACACACACGAGAGGGACGACCAGCTGCTCCTCGAGCGCTTCGAGCTGTGCCGCCACGATGTGGCGCGTGTGTCGTCGAGCCCCATTCTGCCCGACTGCATTGCTGTGACGACAAAGGGCGGTTTCGTGGAGCTCATTAACATTGCCACCGGGGCGTTCCGCGTGTTTCTCAGCCACTTGGGCGGCACGCCGCTGGAGTCGCCGCTGCGCTGCTTCGCCCTTGTGCCGGCGCTCTACGCCGCGCGTGGCACGCACCACCTGCTGTACTCCATCGCGTACTCGAACGAGCTGCTGCTCGCCGACATGGAGTGCGGCGGGGTGGAGGTGCTCGCGACCTTTCATAGCCGGCCTAGCGTCGTCTTCTGCGACGGCGACCACATGGCGTGCGGCGAGGGCTGCGGGCAGGTGGCGTTGTGGCGGGTGCACGGCGGTGCGACGCTCGTGTGGCGGCGACCGGTGTTCAGCGACACAGTGATCTGCCTCACGGTAGAGCGGGAGTATGTCTGCTGCGCGTCAGCGGACTATCGCTGCCATGTACTGTCGCTCACATCGGGTGAAGTCGTCGCGACACTCGCGCAGGAACCAGCGCCGGCTGTGGCGCTGCAGCCTATTGCCGACGCGCAGCTCAGCCGCGGCCTCACTGCTGTATGTCTTCCCGGCGTGCTCTCCGTGTATTCACCCCCACACAAGGACGGCGTTGTTGCCGTCACTGCTGCAGCAGCAGCAGCGGCAGCAGTAGCAGCCACAGGCACTGTGTGGGAATGCGTGGGGGCGTTGCGCCTCGACGTGCAGATCAGCTGCGCAAGTTGCTGCGCGGGCTTTATGGCATTCGGCACGAACTCCGGTGTTGTTCTTCTTATGGGTGTTGACGCCGTAAGCGGTGCGGTGGAGGAGCTTGTGCGGTTTGACGTTGGCTTCGCCGTTGTGGGTGCGCAGCTCTTTCCGAGTGGCACACTGGTGGTGGTGACGTCCGCCGGAGATGTGTGGAAGTGGGCCGTCACCGACCTGCTGCCGGCGGAGGGCGATGCGGCGGCGGAGAGCGATGACGTGCCGCTGCCGAACTTGCAGCCGCCTGCTGCAGAAGAACTAGCAACAACAACAAAAGTAGAAGCAGTAGCGGAGGCGGCAACGAGCCAGGGCGAGAGGGATGACGGCAGTAGCAGCCAACAGAAGGATGAGAGGAGCTGTGATGACGAGGATAGTACGGAAGATGAGGAGGAGATTGTGGTCGTGATGGATGAAGACGCCGCGTCGTCTTTATTGTCGTCGTCATCGTCGTCGCGAAGATCGGCGGGAGAAGGGTATGACATTGGAGTGCTGCGCGATGGAGTGGGCGATGCTTCGCTCGACCCCAACCTCATCACTGATGAGAAGCCCAGCAGCGATGCTCCTGCTGTCGCTGTTTGTGGTGATGTTGCATCACTGGGGGCTGCGGCTCACGACGCGGCTGACGGCGGCTGGTCGGAGCGGTCCCTCCCGCCAAGCAGCATCAGTGTCCTGGGCTGCACCACTGGCGTAGCGGACACCTTGCGGAGTGCCTGCGTTGCCCCGCTCCGGCCATCGCCAAACGCCGACACGCCGCTGCTGCAGCCCGTTCCTGGTACTGCTGGTGCCATTGGCCGTGATGCCAAGGAGCAGCACCGAGACGAGGCGATGGTGACGAAGAACGATGCCGCCGCCAAGCGTGGCTCCACCTCGTCGTTGTCGCCGCACGCACTGCAGCAGGCGCTGCGTGGGGCCGAATTGGGGCCGCCAGCCGTGATCAGTGGTCTGCGCGCGGGAAGACGCATGGACCCACGCAAGGCACGCCACATTGTCGAGAGCGGCGTCCCCGCCACGCTGTCAACAACAACAACAACAACAACAGTGGCAGTGCCCTTGTCGGTGCCGGAGAGCCAAAGCTCGAAGATGCTCGTCGACCATCGCCAGGCCCTCGAAGATGCGGCGTTCAGCTACGCAGAGTACGCCAAGATGCATCCACTCAAAGTGGAGGCGCTCAAGTACCGCTACCCTGTGAAGCTTCCGGTGTACGGGCTCCACGAGCAGGTGTTTGTGCCGACAGACGCACGCCTGAAGGACCGCCCCGAAAACAACGATGGGAATGTCGAGGGCGGTGACGCGCACAGTCAACCACCGCCACAACCGCCGCTACGGCAACAACCACCAGTCATAGACGACCTTATGGATGCGACGTTTCGGAACTTCACAAGGCGAAAGGACGCCGCTCTCGAGAAGGAGCGTCGCCGTGGGGGTCCAGATATTCTGCGCCATTCATGCGACAGTCTTCTGTTCACTCCACCAGACGCGAGCGCCACCGTTCTCTTCAATGAGTACCGCGTACAGCCTGGCGTGCCCGACACACTTCTTCTGCCCATGCCGCTGCCGCCCACACCATCCGTATTTTGAGGACATTTTCATACATATTTATCTATAGAGGGAGAGGGGCGTGTTTTGCATTTTGTTTTTATTGATGTCTCCTCTACCTCCCGCGATATGTACGACGTATCACGTGTGTATCTGGGTGCATGTGTGGCGCGTTGGCTGTTTTGCAGCTTCTCTCCCGTTCCCTTCGTGTGTGCTTGTGTGTTTGCTCGTAGCCCTTCGGCATACCGTGGGAAGGCGGTAGAGGAACACATATATATATATATATATATATATCCAAACACCGCAGTACAGGGACAAGGAAATAGTCTGTGAGTTTGTGTGAGAGAGGGAGGCGTAGAGTGCAGTGGCGGAAATGACAGCGGGCACGGAGGATGCACGGGGGCTAGTGGAGCTTGTCTTCCGGCAGCGCCACGAGGAAGTGCTAACGTGCGAGAGCGTCGTTGTGATTGGGCGTGGCACATCCAACAACGGCCCCAAGGCGCGCATGCTGGTTCTGTGCCGCCCCTTCGCGACGGCAGCGACATCGGCGGCGCCCACGTCGAATGCGACGCTGAGCGTTGTGCGGCTGGAGTCGGGTCGCGTGATCAAGGTGAAGCTCGTGTTTGTGGTGGCGCGCCTCGTTGACGTGAGCCACGACGGCAGCTTCGACGCGACCTTCAATTTCGGCAGCAGCGGTATGCTCTCCGTCACCTTCGAGTCGCGCATCCAGCGCGAGATGTTCGTCGCGGCGGTGCGCAAGCTGCAGCGCGACATGCAGCCGCTTGTCGCTGTCGGCGCGAGGCGCGACGTGCACGCGCTGTTCACCGACGCGGTGGGCACTGAGGCGGAGGCGGACGCAGC